AATTTTATTGTTGTTAACAACCATTTGATCAATAAATATGAGAGATGCCCCCTCAAAAAAAAAAAAACTAGCAATGGCTGGTTGAGTCCTTTTCATAACACATTGCCCTGACACCAACTCTTCTGCCTCTTTCTTCCCCATTAAATGTTTTTTGTTATGATATTGGGCCCATATAATCTAGGATAATCTCATTTTACGGTCAGACGATTAGCAAACTTAATTCCACTTGTAACTTTAATTCCCATTTGCAGTGTAACATAAGATATTCATAGATTCCAGGGATTAGGTTGTAAATATGTTTGGGGAACATTATTCTCCCTACCACATTGCCTGTACACTGTTATGACTATGTTGTTTTACTTCAATTTCTATTAATTGTTACCTTTTCTAAAATTGCACAGGCTTTTTTCTCCCAAATCTGATCTTTCTCCAATGTTACTTATCTCAGGAATTAATAGTATTAGTAAGAGTAGAACTAATAACAATAACTGAAATTTATTGTCTACTATGTGTTAATACTCTTTTGAACACTTTATGTATAAAAGTAACTTGACTCTCACAACCCTTATATTGTTATCATTATTAATTATATTTTGTTATGGATTTTCCCTGACTAAATACTGTAACAACCTCCAATCCTTTTCTGCACAGCTTATTTTAAAACAAGCTGTGAGCTCTGATGAATGTACTTTTCTATAAACAATGATATCTAGCCTAATTTTTCATGCTATAAAGCATGACCAAGTGCCTAGCATGCAGTAGCTACAAAATGACTTGTGTCATCTTAGGCAGATAAAGGAGAGACATTAATGTTCTGAAATAAATAAAAAATGCTCTGGCTTGGAAAAGGTAGAATGAATTTTTCATTAGATAATCTTCAGGTAACTTCAGATGGGAAGAGACAGCCAGGTGTCATTTGTAGGGGCCGCCCCAAGGGGTCCCCCTGCTGGCCGCTCAGGCACACCGTGGCTTCCACGTGTCCCAGAGTGTCAGACAAAGACGGCCGGTTCCCTCGTCCTCTGCCCTAGTACGCGTCCTCCCGTCTGTGGTAGCTGACCACAGTTCCAACCTCAGCCCGCGTCGTTCCTTACAGGACTGTGGGGCTGGGTGCCTCTCCCTGCTTAGCCAAATGGGGGATCGAACACACCCCTGGAGAGGGTCCTGAGGTGGCCACTTTACCCTGGCGACCAGCAGTTGACCCTTAGGTCTGGCTGCAAGATGGGGACCACGGCAACTATGGCAGCCTTGGGGCCCAGGAGTTCCTCATTCCAGAGGTTCCTGGGGGACGCGCTAGGTGGCGCATATTTCTCCCGCTCCGCTTACGCGGCAAACACGCACCCCTGCATCGGATGGGGCCTGGAAGGAGGCCTATTGCCAGGGACCCACAGGAAGCCCCCTCTGGTGAACACAGACCCCTTGCACACCTTCAGCTGCCCGACTCTTGTTATCTGGCCACTGGGAACTGCGCTGCCGAAGGTCCTGCGCTTGCACAGTGCTCATCTCGAAGGGCGGCCTCAGGCTGCAAGGGGCACCACAGTGCACAAGACTTTGGCCAGAGGGGTCCATTGAAACTGGGGAGAGTCAGTCCGCCTCCAGGCCGGCTTGCACGACAATCTAGGCTTGCAGGTGTCCCGTTTTGAAGGCTCACAGGATGCCTGGCGCCCGGCGAAGCCCAGCCCTGGCATTGGTTTCCTACGGGTCTGTGATCACAGAGATGATGCACACTGTCACAAGTTCTGGACCAGGAGGAAGCTTGTGCCTGGCCAAGGCCGGCCCCCGCCCGGGAGTCTGCCCCTCTCTATCCACTGACCTTACGCTGGCCGATGACTTAGGGGAGCTTTCTGCACATGCATGCTCAGACTGTGAAATCTTTGGAATCTACCACAACATTACTGCTGAGGCCATGTTCTTACAGGGTTGCTTTCTGTCAATGACTGAGCATGCTGGAGATACTACAGCTGAGCCTTTCTAGGTCAATGAGGGACTGCTTTAGTGGACAGCCTGTTCTTGGACTCCCTTTTGGCCTACCTCTTCCTATTCAATTTCCCTTGTTGGCCTTCTTTTCAGATGGCAAACTTGCATCACTGTCTCTCTGCCTACCCTAGCTCCTCTTTACTTTATCCTTCATAAACATTTCTTTAAATATCCTACATTTTTGTCATGTAATCTGCTTCTTGAAGTATCTGAATTGACACACTTTTTACCAGAAGTGGTCTGAGAAAGCCAGTAGTATGAAATTATTTTTGTACTGGATGGGTCCCTGTTCATCTAGAAATGAGGACCACATCCCGAATGTGCATATGATGATGGTCCATATGCTAAAACTTATTTGTGACGATCTAGGAAAATATTCCAACAAAAGGAAATACCATTGTCAGTGTAATAATTAGGATCTATGAAGTATATGGGGGGTGGTGGCATTGAAAATAAGAACAGTTAAGTTGGCTGTTTCATGCTAAGTTGTTTTAACATCCTTTAGAGAGTGGTTAACAGACAAAGATTAAATATGAGATCTTTTGTAATTAAAATCTAGAGATCTTTCTTTGTAGCTTACAGAAAAGCTATTATCTCTTTCAGTGGAAGAGAAGACACAACTGCAAGGCAAACTCAGTTTAATAAACAGTCATGGAACTTCAGAGATATTTAAAATGCTCAGGTAAGGCTCGTCTCTTATGCTACGTTTGGGACCTGGCTGGGAGAACTTGGGACCCTAAAAGATGAGATGAGGATATCTGAGTAGATACTTCTAAGAATTATGTATCTGCAGACTCCACGGGACCTACAGAGTTTGCAGACATGGTCTGCCCCTCAATAAGAACTATGATTTCACCTATTAAGAAATACACTGCAGGGGTTTGTCCTCTACAGAGGAACAAGTGTTGTTTCAGGCGATTCCCCCACGTCTTTTCATGGTTGTCAGGCTAATAACTAGGTTAATAGTGATAACCCATATGGGGGTATACTGATCCTGATAAGGAAGAAATGAGACTATACAACAAAGGACCTGTGGGAGATAAACGTACCAGAATGAGTCATGGGAATTTGGTTGGGATTATATTTTGAAGGTGCATGATAGAGGAGGCTAGAACATAAACTTAAATAAGTAAGAACTCTTTTAATTAGGAATACTTTCTTGAGAAACAGGATACAACTTTCTGGCAAGGAACACAGGAAATATGGAAAACTGGCTGCTAGGATGGTTTAAGAAATCTGTAGAAAATGACAAATCATGATGAGTAAAGTTGAAGTGCCTGAGTAGATAATAGAGACAGGGATAAAGATGCTAAGGGGAGTGACATCAGGAAGATGGCAGAATAGGAGATATTAGTCTTCACACCCCCACAATAAAAATCAATTAGATAGCTATCCATGAATGGATAACCTTGGGAGGGCTCAAGAGCCCAAATAAGAACCTGAAGCAAAACAGTGGAGCAAAAAAAAAAAAAAAAAAAATGGAGAATAACCACATATAAAGGACCACAGGGATATGAACTTCACTAAGATGTATGGAGATGGCTAGTAACAAAGGAATATGAGGGCTATGAGTATCAGCCATGCAGTGGGTGCTATCACATTCCCCAGTGGCTTGCTCTGTGGAGGGCCCCGGTAGCCTTTGCTGCTGAGGACCTCAACAGCCCCCACGACAGTTGCCACCTCACCATAGTTCTTATGGTGGATGACCCTGTAATGTTCACTAGAGTGAACCCCACTGGCCTGCTCCACATATGACACTGGCAGCCTTCACCACTAAAATAACCAACATCCATGGCCCTGCTGATTCTCGAAAGAAAGATACACTACTATTCGTCCCCATAAGGAGTTTCTGTTGCACTGCCTTGTACCAGGGCCGCCACTGTTCATGTCCTGAACTACAGAGCCACAGCTGTTCCATATGTGTCCACACTTCAGAATCTAGCTCTGTGGCCACTCCATGCATGCTCACACTCTAGAACCCAGCACTGCAGCTACTCTACATGGACTAGTGCTCCAGATGCAAGCTCCACAACTACTTATGCCTGTGCTTCAGGAACCAGAGCCACCACTGCAGCAAGCTTTCCACTTCCATGGGCCCAGAGCTGCTGTCTTTCAATATGCACTCATGCTATGGACCTTTACTCCATGGCTGCTCAGCACACACCCACATCTCAATCACTGCAGCAACCACTACTGCAAGGTAGCTAGTATCCTGGACCCTGAAACTGCTGTCACTCCATAAATATCTTCATTCCACATCCTGGCTCTGTGGCTTCTAGATGTGTTCCTGCATAACAGAAACCAGTTTCACCACTACTGTGATCCAGATCCAGTCTCAAGAGGGATGCTGTTGACCATGACATCTCTTGTGGGAGAAAAAAAAGATCAGGAAGACCCCAGAAGTCTTCACCACTAAAGACCACAAGAGCTCTTGCTGCCACTGCAGACATCCTCATCCTTGCACATTAAGGACATCTGCAAACTGGCCAATGTTAGCCTCAGCTGCTAGCTGCACAGAGACAGATACTAGGCTTTTCTCAGAGCCAGAACTACTACACCCTACCCAACTAGTAGTCACACTCTCCCACAGGTGATGGACTTTCACCACTGAAACTGGTCCATAAAATCTGAAAGAGATGACTGTTCCATCAAATGTGTATAAATCAATACAATTCTATAAAAACACAAAAATAAAAAAATGACATAAAAGGAACACAATTATTTTCCAGTATCTTACCCTCAAGAAAATAATCTACAAATTTCTGGGTAAAGAATTCAAAATAATTGCTTTAAAGAAGCTCAGTAAGCTGTAAAAAACCACAGATGAACAACTCCACAAAATCAGGAAAACAATGCATGAACAAAATGAGAAGTTCAACAAATAAATTATAAATAAGAAACAAATAGAAAGGCCAGAGCTGAAGGATACAATGAATTGAAGGAATAAAAATCCAATGGGGAACATCAACTTCAGACTTGAAGCAAGAAGCAAAAGAAAGAATCTGTGAACTTGAAGACAGATCATTTAGAATTATACAGTGATAGGAGAAAAAAATGAAAGAAAGTCTTTGTGAAGTCTAGGACAGCATCAAGTAAAATATTTATATTATGGGAGTCCCAGAAGCAAAAGAGAGAAAGCAAAATCTTATTTAAAAATATAATGTCTGAAAACTTACCAAATCTGAGGAGAGATATTGACATCAGTTACATGAAGGTTAGTAAGACTTCAGGTGTACTGATTTGGGCAATGAATTATTTTCTATCCAATCAGAAAAAAGGAACAGAAAAATTTCACCTTCACATGTGACAGACAACAGTATTCATTTACAGTTTTGCTCTTGACTGTGTTATGCTTCCCATTCTTTATTATACAGTTCAAAAAATTCTGAAACATACCACAAAATATCACACTGATCCATTACATTGATTATATATTGTTGATCAGGCAGGATAATCAAAAAGGTGAATAATATGCTGTAAGATTTTATTAAGGCACATTTATTCCAGAGAATGGAAGAAAAAACCTAAAAATATTCGGGAAGTTGCCACTTCAGTACACTTTTTAGGAATCCAGTGGACAAGGGCACATTGAGATGTACCCTCTACAGAAAAGAAAATGTGCAGCTTCTTGTATTTACTACTACATAGAAGGAAACACAATGTCTGGTGGGCTTCACTGGACTCTGGAGCAACATATTCCACACTTTAAGAAAACTGCTTCATTTCACTCACTGGGTGAGACTAAAGGCTGCTTTATTTCAGTGGGGACTGGAAACAGGAAAGGGTTTGGAATCAAATGAAGGTTGTGGTGTCAGGAGCCCTGATGCCTATATTACATAATCAAGGAGACACTATACTTTGGAGGTATCAGTAAGGCAAAGCAAGGTGGAGTTTATGACAGGCTCTAGTGTGAGAATCTCAATGCAGGCCCCATGAAATTCTGGAGCAAGGCTATGCCATCTATAGGAGAAAATTATGTGTCTTTTGAGAGAGAGCACTTGAAATGGTACTGGGCTATAATAGAGACAAAATGCTATACCATGGGACACCAAATGACTATGCATCCAGAACTGCTAATTATAACCCAGGTTCTGTTGGACCTACCAAGTCAAAAAATCAGACAGTCCCCCAGCATCTGTCTATCATAAAATGGACATGGTCATTCTCGGATCAATTCCAAGCAGGACCAGACAGTATAAGTAAGTTGTATGAACAGGTAACAGACATAGTTGTACCCTCAGCTTGTGCCTATGGATATATGAGTGAAGAGAGAAAGACTGAACCTGGTTTATAAATAGGTTGGCTTGGAATGTGTGTTCAAGCTGAAAATGGATGGCACCTATATTACAGCCACATTCAGGGGTGGACTTGGAGTAGAGCATCTGGCCAGGGGATCCAGTTCACAGCAAAGGAGGTATGGGTGGGCTTCTGATGCTGAGATCCAGTGTTCATATTACGTATTGCACTCTGCAAAAATAGCTGGCCTCAGAGAAAGTTTGAATGACTTATTGAAGGAAGAATAATTAGCTTGGATTCAATATTTTGCAAGATCAGGTGCCATCCTGATCAGGTGTCAGTAAATGCATTAAATCAGAGACTTCCATATGATATTGTGTCTTCAATAGGAAGAACTCATGTACCCAGAAACCAAGGGATACTCTCAGGAGTGGCCTCACTTGCCAGTTACTTCCAGTGTCTCACTGGGAACTTGTGTTATTGTTACATCTGCGCTGGCTGCTGTAGTTATAGGTCCTGATCCCAAAAGAGGGACATAGTCTTGCCAGGGGATAAAGCAATAGTCACAGTGAAGTATAAGTTATGGCTGCTGAAAAGGCACTTTGGACTCCCTATACCTAGAGGCAAGCTGTTGTGACAAAGAATCAACATCTTGAAGAGGGTAATTTAACCTGATGAGCAGGAGGAGGCAGAGTTACTTTTCACAGTGTGGGAAGGATTGGATAGCTATGGAAGCCACATTATCCACTTGGGCATCTCTTGGTGATGCCCATAACTGTGAATGGAGTTTGAAGAAGGTATGATTACTAGGGGCTCAGACACTTCAAGAATGAAGTTGGGGATCATACAACTAGGTAAGGCATCAAGCCCTGTAGAAGTGATAGCTGAGGACAAGGGTAATTTAGAATTTAGAGCATAGGAGGCTAATTGTGGCCACAGGATTAACTGGAGTGATGGAGGTATCGTATTTTCCACTATCTCTGCTCTTTTTAGTTTCCCCAAAGGAAAAGAAATCCATGGAAATTTTGGAGGAGTAAATACAGATAGAGAAGTGGATATGTGTAGTGACAGTTATGGGAGTTTGCTGTTCATATCTCACTTCAAGAAACATCCTAATGTGAGGACTGTAGTCACTTCTAGCTTCTGCAAACTTAAGATCTACCAGTGGGCAAGCTGGGGCCAAACTCTCACTAGATTGCTCCCAGCCAATGATTTAGCACCATGAGGGTACTAAGGCCAGGTTATTTCTACTCAACACAGACACCTCTATAGAGGATTCTTTTCTTAGGGTTCCTCATTGGCCTGGTTGAGACTTTCTCTAAGCTGTAGCATAGTCTGAGGCTCTTCCTAATCAGCTCCCCTTTATTTCCTTTCCGCTTTTACATGGGCCACAATTGCATGGTAATCTGAAGGATCTCCCCACTTACTTCTGCTCCCTTTCTCCTTTACCCATCACCAGTGTTTACCTTAATAAGTATTTTATACTTCTCATGGCTTAGGTTTTGATTCCCAGAGTTCTAGGGGAAAGGGCCAGAGTAACATCTATGGTGGAGGGTGAACAATGTAGCTGCAATTTACCAACTGTTTCAGAAGTATTTTTCAATTAATCTATCTCTATTGTCTGTATCTATATCTATCTCATCTCTCTACATCATCTATCATCTCTACTTCCACACCTCTTTCTTGCTTTCAGGAAAGAATGTGACAAGCATATTCATGGCAATATCTAAAAGTAATTGATAAATAGCTGTTAGTCTTCCAGGGATACATGCATTTTATCATTTGAAAAGTAATAAACTATAAAACTTTTTTAAGGTTAAATGATTACATTGAGAACTTTGTATATGTATGTGGGAGGTGGGTATTTTTATGTACATATAGCTTTCTATTTCTTTTAAGGGTGGAAAATAATTTGTTCCTTTCCCCATTCTCTGTTACTTTTTCTTAATGCTTAAGTAAATTAGAAATTTAACAAAACATGATAAGTGTATTCAAAGGAAGATTGCTAATTTTCAACCTAAACTCAGAAATTGAAACTTCATGGTGTAAAATACTACAGTATTTTGGAGTCAGTAGTTCAAGCATTTAACAAATAAAGCACACAATCTAAAAAATCACCTCTATAAATTACATGCAAATATTCAGCTCACGGTACTCATGCAGTACTTGATTTTATATAATACAGTTCCACAGAAGTAGAAAGGCTAGTTTTAGTAGCTAGTGTTTACTAGAGTAAGGCTATTCTGTGAAACCAAGATATCAGTTATTTAAAGCAGCTTATGAATCCACTTTGCTTCAGGCTGAGGAATAAAATAAAAAAATAGTAAGTAAAATTTTACTTATCTATTAATTGTAGATAGTGACTGCTGCGTTAAGGATCACACCAAAACACAGAATGTCTTAAGTGGAAGGGAACCTGGATATCATTTTTATTACTTCTTATTAAAAGTGAAGGTTCCTAAACTTCACACCAGGCCTACCAAGACAAAGTCTGAGATGGAGTCAACAAATTCCCTGGGTGATCCTAATGTTCACTGAAAGATGAGAAGTACGGAATGCTAATCTAACTACCAGCATTTGTGTAAGATCCAAGTCCTAGCAATGTTACATTATAACCCTAAGGTATCACAACTATATTAATGGCTAGGACTTTTAAAATTGAAAATATAATATAAAAACACAAAATCATGTTTAAAATAATTATAGTCACTCCATATTCTACCACACTAATACAAGTATTTTCACATTTGCATATTACTGTCTATTAATTGTCCACAAATACAGTTTTACTTAGTTGCAATCCCATAGTATTTACTATTTCTTTTTCTTAACACTGTTGCATGAACTTTCCAATCCACAAGATTTCATAATTATAATTTCAGTGAACATATACTATTCTGCTTTATATTTTTCTAAACCATTCTTTTAACTTGATGCATTTAGTTTAATTTCAAAGTATTTCTCTTATAGACTATGGCAGTCATCATCAGTGTGTCTAAAACTTGCTTCTTCTGCTATTTTTTATCACAATTATGATTATTTTTATTTAAGTAGAGTTGATATACAATCTTATATTGGTTTCATGTATATTACATAATAATTCAACAGTTACCCACATTATTAAATCCTCACCCCCGCTAGTGCAGTCATAATCATCCAACATAGGAAGATGGTACCAAATCATTGCCTATATTCTCCATGCTGTACTACCATCCCTGTGACCGAGTTACGTTATGGTTGAGAATTTTTGTGCTACTTATCTTCTCACCTTCCCCACCCATACACTCCATCCCCTCCCCCATGGTAATTGCCAGTCACTTCTCAGTGTCTGTGAGTCCACTGTTGTTTTGTTCATTTTATTTTAATTTGTTTTTAGATTCCATATATAAGTGCAATAATATGGTAGTTGTCTTTCTTCACCTGGCTTATTTCACTTAG